ACCAGGCTCTGAGCCTATTACGGTCCAGGGGTTCGAAGGCTGGGCCCCAAGAGGTTTTGATAGCCGCCCTAGGATAATAGAGTCAGGGACGACCGCGGGCGAGCCTATACGGGGCCGAGACCCAAGCAAGCGAAACGCTTGGGACGCCCAAAGTCGTGTCCGAGACCGGCAGGAAAGTCTCCGAATGGGATCCCACCGAAGGGAGGCACCGAGCCACCGAGGCCCAGCGAACGGCCTCGGCACCCACTAGAGAAATCCTCTGGTACTCTTGGAGTGTGTCTCTGGACCACTAGCCGTCCCCTAGCGAATGGGGTTCGGGCCTCCACTCGGACTACCCGAAAACAGCTCACCGGAGGTGCCACCGCTCGTGCCCACCGAGGGTAGCGAGGCACATTCCACCCCTCCTTCCGAGCGAAAAGGAAGCATGAGGGTTGTACAAAAAGTCAGGGGAACCCCTAACGGCCTTCTTGCTCTATGAAGGGGCTAAGGGGCTCTTCCTGCAACCTTGCCGAGACCCGGCGACCCTGGCTCGCACTCGAAGGGGCTCGGCAAAACAAACCCTCCTTCCGAGCAAAAAGGAAGCGTGAGGGTCGTGCAAAAAGATAGGGGAGCTCCTGATGGCCCTCTCGCCCTGTGCAGAGGCTAGGGGGCTCTTCCTGTAGATACACCGAGACCCCATGACCCGGGCTGGCGCCCAAAGGGGCCTCGGCAAACAAACCCTCACGCGTGAGGGGCGTATAAAAAGCCAGGGGAACTCCCGATGGCCCTCTCGCTCCGCGCAGAGGCTAGGGGCTCTTCCTGCAACCTTGCCGAGACCAGCGGCTCCGGCTCGCACCAGAGTGGGCTCGGCAAACAAACCCTCCGTTCGAACGAAAAGGATATGTGAGGGTCGGATGAAAAAACCAGGGGACCCCTGACCGCCCTCCTGCTCCTGGCGGAGGCTCAGGGGCTCCTCCTGCGCCAAAGACAAAGACAAACGGTCTAAGTCCATGCTAGAAGTTCCATTACAAATACGATAAAGGGCACCGAGCCCGTTACGGTCCAGGGGTTCGAAGGCTGGGCCTCCAGAGGTTTCGACAGTCGCCCCAGGACAACAAAGTCAGGGACGACCTCGAGGCGAGCCTACCAATGGCCGAGGCCCGAGCGAACGATCGCTCGATCGCTCGGGGCGTCCTAAGTCGTGTCCGAGACCGGCAGGGAAGTCTCAGAATGGGATCCCACCGTAGGGAGGCATCGAGCCACCGAGGCCCAGCGAACGGCCTCGGCACCCACTAGAGAAACCCTCTGGTACTCTTGGAGTGCGTCTCTAGACCGCTAGCCGACCCTTAGCGAACAGGGTTCGGGCCTCCACTCGGACTACCCGATAACAGCTCACCGGAAGTGCCCACGCTCGTGCCCATCGAGGGTAGCCTGGCACATTCCACCCCTCCTTCTGAGCGAAAAGGAAGCATGAGGGTCGGACCTCTTGCTCCGTGCGGAGGCTAGAGGGCTTTTCCTGCAGCCTCGCCGAGACCCCCGCAACCCGAACTTGCGTTTATGGGCTCGGCAAATACGATAAAAACTCCTCGCTCAAACGCAAAAACGAAAAAAGCCCCTGAAGGAGTAACTCCACTCCTCCAGGGCCTCGGGGGCTACACCCGGTGGGTGCGCTCGCGCGCACCCTCCGGAACCACTAAATACAAAACACAATCTCGACGGGAGCTGCTACGAGCCAAGTCTCGTCCAAAACCTCGGGAGAGTGCCCGCACTCCTCCCGAGGCTTGGGGGCTACTGTCGGATACCACAAGAAGGGGTACCCTAAGCAAGAACCGAAAATATTGCTTAAGCCTTGCAAAAATCAAAGCCAAAGGACGACCACGAGGTCTCGGCAGATTCTCCGACTCGCCCAAGGATAGCGCCGAAGCCTCAGACGAAAGGCCAAAGCCCTCCGCCCCGCCGAGGCCCCCTCGTCGAGGCCCCGCCCCGCAAGGCCTCGGCTGGGATACCAATTCTCTGTTTCGCCCGAGGCTGGGCTCGGCAAACAACCTCGTCACCTCCGTCCCGACCGACTCCCCGACGAGCGTCACGTCCGGTTAATCGCCCCCACTACTCCCATAGCGTCGCCACCGCACGTCAAGATTTGTCTGGACAGCAGAATGACCGGCGGGACGAGGGACCGGAATACGCCCTATCTTTGCTTAACTCCTGCGCCAAGGACAAAGTGGCGTGGAGGTCGATTCGGGTCCCGATAGTCTCGGAATCAGCATGAAAGACCAACCGCCCGTCCTCCGCCTCGTCAGAGACCCCGGCGAGGGCCCCGGTACTACTTTTCCTTCTCCGCCTCGGGCGAGACCCCCCCGCCAGGGCCTCGGATGTACTATTCCTTCTCCGCCTCGGCCGAGGCCGGGCTCGTCCCGCATCCTCGTCGCCTCCGCCTCAACCGTCCCTCTGGCAAGCCGTCACATCCGTTTAAGTGCGCCCGGTCGCACCTACTACGTCAGCCACGACTGACAGGGTACAACAACAGGGGCGATGGGACAGCGGTCAAATCTCCTTTTTACCATCCCCTACTGACGGTGCAGGGGTTACCGTGCCCTGTGGACACACGCTCCGCACTTCTCCTTTGAAACTGCATGCAGCGCGAGACCACCGAGACCCCCGCATCATACACGGGTCACCTCCGAGGCCTCGGCAAAGCAGGCCTCGGCACGATCAGCTATAGCACCCGCCAGGCCTCGGCACTCCACCCAGTCAAGAACACACAAGGCACGGCATGCCTCCTACAGTGGAAGCCATACTGACTAGACGTCAACAAGGACCCCCACGACCTCAACAACCTCGGGCCTGGCCGGCACGGCGCGCCAGTGATCAAGTACCAATTGCCATTCCCGCCTTTGTCTTTGCTCACAGGGGATAGAGTACTAGATCTTCCTTCTAAGGCTCCACGTATAGCTCTCTCATGTATTACCGGCTCCCTCCTTACAGCTATAAAAGGGGGCAGCCAGGGCCATTTCGAGGGGGAGAAGAAGAACACCTGATAGCACACACACATACGCATCCCAGCCGCCTGAGAGCAACGTCTCAAGCCGCCCACATGACACCTCGCCGAGACCTGGGATTAGTTCCCTCTCTCACTGTGCTTGTAACCCCCTACTACTAGCACTTCGGTGCAAGGAATACAAGATCGATCTCTCAGACTGGACGTAGGGCATCGATTGCCTGAACCAGTATAAACCTTGTGTCTCTTTGCATCACCATCCGGGATTAGGGGCACGCAGTTCACATTTACTGGTTGGTTGAGGACCCCCCGGTCCAAAACACCGACACAAAGTATGGAGCTTCATTTCAATCAAACATATATTGATGTGGCATACATTGATTACTCCCATCCTTACAACTTATGACAACTGAAATTGTGTTGTAAATGTTTGAAGCTCAGAATGAATTACTAGCCATGATGCCTCCTTTTGCAGGACCTTGGGTACATCCAAGTGATGGGGCTTAACAAATTGTTGCAAGAGTACAATCTTCTCCAAGATCTCCATGGCGGTAACGGCATCCTCAGTGGAGGTCCCAAACATGCTGTCGAACAATTTGGTCATGACGTATTTCTCCAGGCCCTAGTGCACAAAAAAAAGACTCATTAGGGCGTGTGAATGAAGGTGAAAACAATGATCCAGGCAGGGCTTCACCCTCGAGCGTGTGGTCGATCTCCTGGTTGGTGGCATTGGCCCAGACCTAATGGCGCTCCATCTCCGCGAGGAAGGCCTGGACCTGCCGGGTGGTGCGATGGCCCAGTGCGGACACGCTCCCAGCCAGCGGCGGCGACGTGGGCCCTGGCCCAGGCGCCAAGGCCTTGAAGGCCACGGGCCAGCACGCGACTCCGCCAAGACCTGTCCACGGCTCCACCGGCCAGCCAGGGATCACCGAGAATGCCCGAAAAGAAATTTTTACTGTGAAGCAAAATATGCACTCTCATCTCTTGCTCCATAATTGTGAGACTATATTGTACTTAAAGCTTGAATAGAGGACAGGGTTAGCTGCCTAGGTTGCTTTCTCAATTATTTCATCCTGGTATTAAAAGGTCCTAGAGCAACTTTGATGTCAGCTTGTAAGTTAGTGCACATGTAAAGAACTGCATATATATATGCTAGATGGTTGAGTTTACAGAGATTAGTACTGTTTTGTAAGAGGGCCGGGGTGCTATGTTGTAAAACCAATATCATGAAAATTTGTAAAGTGGCTGGGTTTTACATATTCTGTAATGACTAATGCATTTAAAAGATGACTACAGAAGTACATCTGACATAGAAGATCATCACAGAACCAGAGATAATAAAAGAGAAACTTGGAGGTCAATTGCAGCATAGCTACCTTTGTATGTTAGCAACATTCTTAAGAAAAATAACCATGTTAATGACTTGTTAATTAACTGTACAAAAAGATCCATGTAATTCATTTCATGGCCAATCAGCCAACAGACATCCATGGAGTAGTCAAAGCCAATGTAATTCATACATTCCCTTGCATTTCGCCTTATATCTTAATCCCATTCATATAGCAACAGGGCTTGGAACATTGTGAATGTAGTAGGTTACAGTATATACAGGCAAGGCAACAGAAGGGGAATAGATTTTTGAGCTAGAAACGTTGTGAACATGGCTAGCAATAGGGCTACAAACATTGTGAATATAGTTGTTGTGGTGGTTTTAGTATAGATAGCGAGCCTGTCATTAGTATGAAAAATATCATCTGATTCTTCTCGAGTTCTTGAGCTATCAAGTGAAGGTACATGCATGATGCATCAACCCATAACTGTGTCAGAGTTGCTAGGCCCGTGTGTTTAACTTAGCAGTTTATGTGTGAGAGAAATATTTACTTTCACAACACAACATGTAGTAAGATGACTAGAAATAAGAACAGTGTTAGGGGCAGTCATTGAAACTGAGAAAATAATTGATATTATTTTAAGTATAAACAATAGCACACAACATTGTATTGTAAGTGTAGCTTGAGCAGGGATGGGGCAGCAGGTGGCCGTGGCCTCGCAGGATTGGTGGCCGCCGAGCAATGCGACGTTCAGCAATGCTGCGCCGCTGGTCGAATATACTATGGTCTCGGTGGGGATCATGCGGACGCATTCGCCGATGCCATCGGAAAGAAGACGGCTATTGTGTATCTACGCGCGAGCGCTATTGGCCTCGTGCCTCCTGCTCTACTCCGCCATGGCTATTGGGCATTTGGGCTCAACATTGAGCTCGCCTCTGTCTCCGTGGTCACGGCTGCGAGGAAGCAGAGCGGCGAGCTCCGATCCACCTCCACTTGATGGCTACGAAGCGCGGGCGCGAGATGCCTGTCACGAGGCACGGAAGAGCTGCCGCCTGGGGACAGCAGGGAAGAAGAGGAGGTAAGGCAAGCGGACGGAAGTACCGGCGGCGGTGCAGGCCGTCTGCAGGAGGGTGGTGGCCCTACATCCAGTCTTGGCGGCGGCGAGAGACGGGGGCGCCCAGGCGGGCAAGGTCGCGTTTGGCTCGCTGCGCCGTCTCGCCGGTGAGCTCGGCCGCCTCGCCCGGTGGACCATGCCCGCGCCGTTGGCCCGCGCTGCAGCTCTGCTCATCGACGCCACGGGAGCCTACGGGCCGACGCGCCGAGAAGATTCCCGATGCGGGAGCATGATGGAATAGGCGGAGACCCGATCCGATCCAAAATCTGACGGTCCACATGGCGAGCCTGCCCGATCGAACGGTTGACGGGTGGTCGGGCGACGTGGCCCGATCGGCTGCCCATATTTTGGAAGCCGGATTCCTATAGAGATGCTCGTAATATTTGGCTACGCCCGCTCTCAATGAGATCCGTGGATGCAATATCACACCTCGCACATGCACCCGCACCCCCACCCCAAGGTGACCTGCGGGTGTGCTAGTAAGAAGCTTACCGGAAAAAAAATCCGAGAGAAAATAACAACAATTATCAGTTTATCATCACCAGTGAATCATAAGTTCACGAGAACTTAATTGAATCTAGCCTAGTACTCCCTTCATTCCAGATTAAATCAGAAGTTCATAACTTTTCTATCTATTTAATTAGATATACACTATGTCTAGATGCATAGTAAAGACAATGTATCTAGAAAACCAAAACGTCTTATAATTTGAAATAAATGGAGTACATACTATCTAGGCAACCTAGCCTATACGAATCATACTAAGTTTTACATATGTTTGCGCCAAACGTTAGTTCTAGTCTTGTAGGCCCCTAATTGAAGAAGGGGAATAGAGAAAACATGCGTTTCAAGCCTCGCAGGTCACCCGCGAGTGAAGTATAACACCTGCACATGACATGACGCCGTCGTGGGCCCTAACCCGAAGACATCCACGGGTCCAATGTTACACCCGCATCACGAGTGTGATTGCCATCTGGTAAGGAACTGTTTTTGGAAGAGGTCACAGAGCGACTGTAGAGTGCTTATCTAAAATCTAAAATTAACTAATACTCCCTCTATTCATTTTTACATGTCATATTAACTTTGTCCATAAATGAAATATTACTATATTTGATCGTCCACTTTAAAAAAACCTTTAGTTTCACAACATATGAGTTCTATATCGTGATCTAAAAATATAAATTTTATGTCATGAACCTATATAAGTTTTTTGAATGATGATCCAAGATCCAAATGTTTGACTTGGGACAAAACCAACATGGCATGTAAAAAGAAAGAGAGCAGACACTATGAGATACTCAGAGTTAGAAAAACCACTTTGTCATGAATATTATCATAAGTAGAAGGTGTAAGATTAATTAAGAAAGACAATTAAGAAATATACTTCCCCATACTTCAGATAATGCAATGCATACTATGCATTGAAGGTAAAAGTGATCTATAAAAGATGATTGTGATTGTTGAGGGAGTAAGACAGTCATAATAACGATACCCCTAAAGTAAAGAAATAGCTAAATTCCTGGACCTTTTTATAGTTCCGATAGGAAGATAGCATAGTCGGCTAGTATTTATACTTGACGAGTTCAGAGTTATCAAGGCGGTGCTAAACGCGCCATATGAGTTTTTTAGCAGATTAAACCCAAAATAAGAAATTTGAAGATACACCATCTTTACAAAAGATGGAGTAATCTGGGGGAGCATGGTATGTAGATACCTAAGGCTTGAATAGAAGTGGGATTACATATCCACTATAGTGTTTTTTAGAGCAACAAATTGCTTAATACATGTTGATGTTGTATGGGTATACAACACCTGATGTTAGCTCTTAAAGAAGATGAATAAGTAAATAAGAATCATATAATACATGAGGCTATAGAACAATTGCCTTTTAGCAATGAAGAGTAACAATAGCCCCATATGAAAGAAGTGCCACGAGGCCCCAGAAGGTCTCAAAGAATAAGAAAATCAGATATTTCTGGTGACTAGGAAGTCAATGTTAAGAAAGAAATTCAAATAGAGGATAATTTCACCTCATTTGAAAAAGCCATGAGAGGCGTTCACTCGTCTAAATGGCAAGAAGTAAAGGAAGATGAAATGAAATCGATAAATACCAACGATGTTTGGGACTTAGAAGTAATTCTCAATGGAGCCAACACAGTAGGCTGTAATGGGTCTACAAGACAAATGTGACTCCAAAGGAAATATGAAAAGCTATAAAGCACCACTTGTGGCGAAATGATTTACACAAAGAGAAGGAATATATTATAATAAGCTTGCAAGGATTCTTTTATAATCATAATGGTATTAGTGGCACATTACGATTTATAGTTACATCAGAAGGATGTAAAGACACATTCCTCAACGAGGATTTGTATGAAAACGTTTACATGGCATAACTCAAAATGTTTTGTCGTGGAAGGAAAAGAACGTAAAGGGATGTTGCCTAAAGAAATCCATTTATGGATTAAAGCAAGCTTCAAGACAGTGGTTCTTGAAGTTTGACAGTACAATAAGAAAGTTTGGGTTTTAAAGAGAATGTAGAGGACAATTGTATTTATGCAAAGTTTAAATATGGGAAATTTATTTTCTTAATCCTGCATGTGGGTAGCACCTTACTCGCTAGTAGTGGTGTTAATCTACTGATTGGAGAAGCAGCAGTTCTTGTCCTCAAGTTTCAATGAGAATGGTCTTGGTAAAGCATCATTCGTTCCAGGAATTGGAACTTACCGGGATAAAAAGAAAAGGGGTATTAGAACTATCTCAAGTGTATACTTAGAGAAGATTCTAAAGAAATAAAGTATATATGTGAATAAACCTGCGCCTGTTCCTATAGTCAAGGGTAATAGTTTTCAGAACTTTCAGTGTTCCAAGAATAAATGTGAGATCGATCAAATGGACGTCCTATATGCTTCAGCTGTTGGAAGCTTACTGAATGCTTATAAGCAAGAACTTACCCTTACACAGTTTATGTATCCGGGATGTTTTGACAGAAGTCCAGTCCAGATGTAGATCACTGGAATGGAGTTGAGAATGTTTTGCAATTGTGCAAAGATTTATAGGCCTCATGGTGAGTAAGAAAGAATAAGTGCTCTCAAATAGTTGTGGGTACAAAAGTTAAATTTTGACGAAATGTTTAGTGAAACCCACATAGTAGCTAACACTCGCAGTTGGAGTTTTATTGTGGAAAAGCTCCAGAGAAACAGTTGTGGTGTCATCAAAGATGCATAACCATGGTATAGCTTGTTATGAGGCTTAAGGACAGGCGAAGTGGTTAAAAGAACTTACACCCGGAATTGATAATGGTATACAACAACAATAACCATTTAAGTAGTTTGCTCCTATAACAACGGGTCAAGTATGCTGCCAAACACATTGACGTTAAAGTTGTACGTTGTGAAGGAGAAAGTCCGGAATCATACTAAAAGTATTGAACATATAAGTAACAAGCAAGTGCTTGCGGATCCGCGTACAAAAGGCTTACCACCCAGTGTGTTTGGAGAACACACAGTCGACATGGGTTTATGGTATAGCCTATGATTTCCGGACAATAAAGGGCCCAAAGTTAAAGAATCTGTTTCAGAACAGAGATGTGTATTATAGCTGTTAAGTCTATCGGCGATTGACCGTGACGATGAAGCATGCTCTATGCACTAATCTGTGATGGAACAAATAAAAGTGAAAATGATTAAAGTCAAAGTTTAAAGTTAAAGTATGAGTTGAGATCAAGGGGGAGAATGTTGGTTTGATCTCCCAGCCACAGTGGCCCAACGACCACTTGGGCCTTGACCTCGCGCCCTGATCGGGGGCGCCCAGTCCATCTATGGCTGGCGGCCCCCCATCACACTGCGCATTAAATAGAGGTGGGGTCGGCGGCTCTCAGGATGAGGTTCGCCTGAGCCGTACGCCCCACCTAGAAACCCTACTCTGATCTAACAGAGGGGCGCAGCCAGTGACAGGAAGCACCGCCGCCGCCACTGCACTGCGCCACCACGGTCTTCACTGCGTCGCTCTCTCTTCTCCGACCGTCGCTGCCTAGCGTAGAACTTCACCAATGAACCTGATGGACGAATCCCCTACTCAATGGATGGTCAGTGCCTAACCCTAGCTCTTCATCTCCCTCTCTGTCCCTCTCCGTTCACACCATTACTACGAGAAACCCATTAAAACCCCACTGATCCACAACTAGATGATCCAAAGAGTTCTAACAATATTTTCTCCCCCTCGAAATGTGGTATGAACTTTTCTACCACAATTTCAAAACATTCAGAACTCTTGTGAATGAGGAAACTTTGATTACTTACTTCATCCACATGATTACATCATGCAAACAAAATTCGTATGGGAGTACATTTTTCTCATTACACTTCAAAACTCAACATAGTCTATTATTATCAATACTTCTGCAAGTCATGCTTGCATATCATTCTTATCTTTTGGTTCACATGCAACTTTCTTTTGTTCTTAAACTCATAGAGTACTTAATGACCATGACACAATCAGAGTGTACGGTCAATACTAGGATAGCATAAAAGCTACCTCAAACTTCTCTCCATGTGCGGGATATACTTAGAGCACATGAGTCATCACATCCTTCTCCCGCCATACGGGATAAGTACTATGCCAAACTCTCCCGCCATGCAGGATTGGTTAACATATGTACTATGCCAACTTTACCCCGCCATGCGGGTATTTTCTCAAACTTTTCCCGCCATGTGGGTACTATCATAAACTTTTTCCCGCTATGCGAGATATTCCTTTGAACGGACATAATTGCCAGGATTGGCTTGTGTTCAATCATCAAATTCAGAAATAAATCCGAATATTCTTTTAACACACATGTTTAATCCAATGTAAGTCAAATTAAACATGTATATGACTTTTACAACTCTCATAAGTGAAACTGAAAATAAATTCTTCTCCACAGAGAGTACATAAAAGACATTTCTCAACGAAGAGTCTCATTGATCTATCTCTTTTCTTGGATCAATATCCTAGAATTCTTTTCTTTTGAAGCCATTCTTTAAAGAGAACACAGTCCCTTAATCAATGGCATTCTTTCATACATAACTTGCTCTTAGGCATTTAATCATCTGAGTCACAAGTACCCAGCTCATTTCTCTTTCTGCCTTCAAGAATGAAAGCATGGAGGTCTTTTGTCTGAAAAAATATTCAACAATAATGCTCATTAAACTTTGAAAACTTTATGTTCTATTCTATATCACCGTTGGGCAGAAATAGAATAAAACATCATTCTTCTACATTAATTTCACATCACCGTTGGATAGAAATGGAATTAACGTATATAAATTCAATAATCTTGAAAACATAGTACTGCTCCTCAAAATTAAATTCTCCCGTTGGTTCGAATTTAATTAGAAGACAATCAACTTCATCACAGCGGAAACATGAAAATACATTTCTCTAGTTTAAGAGCATTGCTTGATCTTTATCTTTTCTCTGAAAAATTGGTCACTTTAATGTAAAATTCATCAGAGATTTAAACTTTAAACATAAAACTCATAGAATTATAATATTGTTATCATCAACGTTGGTCAGAAAATAACAATACCATAATTTAACTTTAAACTTAAACTTATAAATAAACTTATAATATTGTTATCATCAACGTTGGTCAGAAAATAATAATATTATAATTTATCTTAACTATCAACCGACTATTCCTTCAATTAAAATTTTCTAGCTGGTTCTAATTTTAACTGGAGGATAAACTTTTCATCATTTACTGAATAACTATAACTGTTCTTCAAATTAGAAGACAATAAACCTTTAACTTTGCAGCGGAACTTGACAAAATTTCTTTTCATACTTTTCAGAAGCATTTTTTTCTGTACTTTTCTACTCTTTGAAAATTCTAACACGTTGGTGCATAAAATTATCAGAGATTTTAAATCATTCCTTGAATGAAATCATCAAAATTTGCTTCTGAAAAACTAATAAAACAATTCTTAATCATCACTGTGCATTCTGGCCCGGTCCAGCACTGTGTAGCCGGAGCTCAGCAGCAGCAGTGCGCGCGGCCCAGCTGCTCACGCGCGCGGCCCGTAAGCAGCAGCAGCACGCGGCCCACCACTACGCGCGCTTGCGGCCCACCACTACGTGCGCTCAGCAGCCCACACTCAAACTGCGTGGCCCAGCAACACAGCGCGTAGCGCTCGCGGCGCCTCCCCCGCGCCCAGGCCGCAACCTGGGCTTGGGCCGGGATTCCTCTTGCCCGCCTGGGCTCTATTCGGCCCGGAACAACGGTCGCCGTCAATCTGAATCCGACGGCCAGGCATCGATCTCGGAGGATCAAAAAACCCCACTGGCCGCGGCTTCCCTCAACCCTAGCCTCATTCTTTCCCTCCCTTTCTCTCTCATCCGCGCCGAGTGTAGCCAGCAGTCGCGCACGGCGTCCAGAGGAGGAAGTGGAGGTGGCGGCGCCGCCACGGCCCCTCTCGCCGGCGCGCGCGTGTGGCTAGAGCTGCGTGCGGCACCGTCGAGGAGAGCCATGGTGGTGCCTTTTGCAGACCGAGCCCGCGTGGTGGCGTAGCTCGGCCGTCTTCCCGCACGCCGGCGAAAACCGACGCCGCAGTCTTTTTCCCGCACGATGGCGATGCCGGTGGCGGGATGAAGGCCCAGGTAGGACCCTGTGTTCGTTCTCATCTTTGCTGGGATTTGGGGATTCTAGGGTTAGGGTTTGGTGAAATTTCGAATCGATTTGAATCACCTTCTTCTCTCTTTTCTTTCTATTTCTTTCCCCGAGATCTGGTCGCGGGTTTAGGGTTCCAACTTCACCCAGTTAGGGTTAGAGACTGTTCTTCTTCCCCACGCGGCGTCTAGTGCAACGGCAGGAGGTGGTGACGGCGCAGGGGATCCCCAGGTAGGAGAAAACCCCTTCCAATCCATCCTTTCTTTCTTGATTCGAGATCGCAGTTAGGGGTAGGGTTACTGTCTGTTCTTTCCCGATCCGATCCGGATCGGTCAATCTTTCTTTCTTTCTTTTCCTGTCCCCGATCTAGATGTACAAACTAGACTGGGGATTTTAGGGTTAGGGTTCTTTGTTGAAACCGTGTTTCAATCTCATCCCCACTTTTCCCGTACCCCATCTAGGGTTAGGGTTCGATTTGCTTTTCTTTCCCCGATCCAGATCCACATACTAAAACTGGCTTTGATACCATTGTTAGAACTCTTTGGATCATCTAGTTGTGGATCAGTGGGGTTTCAATGGGTTTCTCGTAGTAATGGTGTGAACGGAGAGGGACAGAGAGGGAGATGAAGAGCTAGGGTTAGGCACTGACCATCCATTGAGTAGGGGATCCGGCCATCAGGTTCATTGGTGAAGTTCTGCGCTAGGCAGCGACGGTCGAAGAAAAGAGAGCGACGCAGTGAAGACCGTGGTGGCGCAGTGCAGTGGCGGCGGCGGTGCTTCCCGTCACTGGCTGCGCCCCTCTGTTAGATCGGAGTAAGGTTTCTAGGTGGGGCGTACGGCTCAGGCGAACCTCGTCCTTAGAGCCGCCGACCCCACCTCTATTTAATGCGCAGTATGACGGGGCCCGCCAGCCATAGATGAACTGGGCGCCCCCGATCAGGGCGCGAGGTCAAGGCCCAAGTGGCCGGTGGGCCACTGTGGTTGGGAGATAAACCAACAGAAGGAGCTCTGTCAAACGCCCAAACATGCTCGGTTGAATACATTCGTTGCAACTCGCAAGTTACGATGAGTGTTTGCTTTACTTAGTTTTGTTTGAAAACTAGGCCCCTTGGTGAATTTCGAAATACATCAATGCACGTGTTCTATCATAAAGCATACAAGATTATAGGTTGTGCCGCAACCACATATTGTCCTTCATAAGACAATTCTACACGTGCTATTTTCATACAAGCATTCTAAGCACGGGCACTCGATGTACCAATGGCTAAATACCTGTACTGGTACTGTAGCACTACTAATTTCTAAAAAGTTCTTTTTCACAAAGACCTTAAAGAAAAAGTGTAGCACTAGTTCACGCACAATCCCCCCCCCCCCCTCTTTTTTCGGTCTTTTGAAAAAGAAAGCAATCTCCAAATTTTTAACCACACCACACCACCAGGCAAACGTGCACTACTGTAGTCACCAGTCGGCAGATCCATCCAGCCTGATTTGCGCAGCCACGCCGCGTGGGTCGTCAACTTCTCTGTCGCGGGTCGCGGCGTGCCGAACGGAAACCACTGTCAGCCTACTGCTGGCGGATTTGTGTGAGAGAAAAATACTGTTTTGGTTAGAAATTTACGATCGTTTACGACGAGCCATGGCTAAACGAACGGGAGCTGTGGCAGTCGAGCCCACGGGCCCCGGCCACCCTGTCGGTTGGTTGGTTCGTTTCGTTGCTGGTTCGTGAAAAAGTACTGCTAGCTGATTTATATGAAAAAAAATACTATTTCAACTGAAAATTTACGATCGTTTACCATAAACGAACGGGCAGGGGAGAGAGCGTCGAGGCAGCTCCGAACGATCTGCCGTTCCCCTGTACGCGCGGGCAACAGGGGGACCCTTCCCACGTCCGTCCCCTGAGATATTTTCCGCTCGCGATCGGCCGTACGCTCCCCATCCGACGCCTCCGCTGCCGCCACCGCGTCGCCGGCGCAACCGACGGTTGCCTTTTGAGGACGTGGCCCAGGCGGGTTCGCTTTTCCCTGTCCCATCCCCGTCTCCTGGCTGGCTGGCTGACCAGTGACCAGCCCTCTCCCACCTCGCACGCCTGTGGCTGTGGCTCTTGACCATTCCACCACCGGAGTTAATGCCTCCGCCTCTCCGTCAGCGCCGCCTCGGCTCGCCGTCTCGCTGTGCGCGGCGTGGGTCGTGGTAGCAGTACCGCGCGTGGTGGTTGGGGCCTTGGGGATGGGCGGAATTGGCGAGGGGAGGTGTGGACATTGAGGGGGGAGCTGTTGTGGCGCGTGTCTCCCTGTCGCCCACACCTTCTTTTTATTCCTCCGCGCCCGGTTCCGTTCCGGGGAATCGATTCTGGGGAGGAGGGATTCTGAGCCGTGGAGTCAGGAGACGCGCCGCCGGCGCCGCCGCGGTTGCTTTGATCCCTTGCCGTTGCCGCCTCAGCTCTCGTTCGTACGTCCTCGTCGTCGTGGCAATTTGGGTGAGTCCATGCTTACCTGCTCCTGCCATTCCGGCCTTGGATTTTTTTGGCTGTTTCTTCCCACGGTCTAGGAGCGAGAGTTCCTGGTTGCTCGTTGTTCCTTTTTTCCGTGCTTTTATGTGGCGGTAATCCTCAGTGTTTCGCAGCGGTGTGCGTGTTCCTTGCCTAGATTGGCGTGATCCAATTCTAGTCCAACCGAGAGGCGTAGAGGTGCGCGCCGCAGAACACGAGCGTGCGCTTGGTGCTTGCTAAGGTAAATCTATGTTTCACCTTTTGCTTGTTGATGAGTTGCTACTAGATCCATTTGATTGATGTAGTCATTTTTGGGGGCTATAGGTCATGGCATCATGCTTCGCAAGGTCATGGCATGCGCATGCCCAACTCTTTGTGGTGAAAAACTTCCTATTAAGTTCCACTCCCGCCTTATACCCACCGCACTTTGCTAGTTCTAGTGAAATCTCCAGCGCGATTGATCAGCTGGATTTAAAAGTGGAGTTGTATCTAAACAAATCTAATGGAACTTCTAACCCTTTTATGTTTTCCTGATTTACCGGTTTCTGCATCGTTCTTCTGTCAGGACTTAAAAGATCTCGTTATCTCTGATTATGTTATTGTTTGCGTCCTTGACAGAAGAATCTGCAGCCATATTTCCAGGCTCACGGAAAAAACTCATTTACTTGAATCATGTCAGACTTTGTCGGGAGTAGATATGATAAGCAAGAAGATTTTCAAGTTTTGTTGAGCAAGAAAGATCCTGGAGAACCACCTCAGCACAAGCATTACCTGTGGATGGCACACTGGACCAAAGCAAGCAGCAGTGCAGAACCCCGAAACAACAATGTCAGCAATCCTTTGGAGGATATCAACAAGGGCACCACTGCAAAAGATAGTCAGACTTTGCCTTATGAATTCATGAAATCTACAGTTGCTGAACGGCTCATGGTAGGAGTAAGCCGTGGAAGTGCCTCCATGCAGCATGCCCGACAGTTCAATTCTAGTATGTGGGGTATGGCACGCCATGTTTCCCAATGAATTGGGACCAAAGAATAGTGAACAGGTTGATGAGTCTTTTGAAAAATCTATGAAGAAGGATGCTGTGAACTTGCAAGCCAGGGCAGTTGTGTCAGAAACATATTCTATTCACAAGCTTTCAGAGTTACCGTTGGATTTTCAGAACCTTGGGAGCTCAGATGATCCAAGTCCAGATTGGAGCCACTTTCCAATGTTCGAAATTAATCGAAAGATTGACAGTATTCTCAACCGTAAACGAAGGTCTGCAGCACTTGGTCCTGCACCTCTGAATCTAAATGTGTCTGCATCCCATGTGATGGCTCTATCGTCACAAGAATACATGATGCACTCACATCAAATAGCTGACGAGAACATGGATACGTGCAAACCTGCAGAAGGCTTTGCATCTCGCATAGAAGATCCTGCTGGCCTCAATTCAGATCCTTCAGGGCCAAAGTTAAAAGGACAATTATCGGATACCATGTCATGTTCTTGCAGCAAGGATGACAACAACTCAGCAGATTGTCCAATAGATGAGCAGCATACAAGCCACTATTTTGCAAACTCAAAGCATGAACTACCCTCTGTATCTAACGAAAAGAAGTTCAAGTTTGCAGGAAACAACCACAATCGAATTGTTGCAAGTGAGGCCCACAATCTGAAGACAAGAAGATCTGTTGTCCATAAACAACAAAGTGCTGCAGAGGCAATGTTCTGTGCACCAGTACTTGGTAGTGAGTTTCAGAATGAACCAATAACTATTTCTACCATCGGCAAGAAGGATGGTGAAAATTTTCATGAGATGTATAAATCTCATGGCAAGGCTGTTTCGTGTTCTTTGTTACCTTATGAGCATCATCGTCATCTCAAAACACAGAGAACGGAATCTGCAGGAAATCTGAAAGTCTGCACGTTACCTGATCAAACTGCAAATAAATTGACAGAAAAGAGTAATGGTGAGCTGCTGACATATGGACCAAAGTCAAAGGAAATGTATACAGGTTCTTGTAACCGAAGAAGGCCCTATTTATTCGAAAAGTTAACGGTTCCTTCCAAATCACAAAGTGCATATCCTAAAAATTCTGTGTCTCCAGGAAAATCTAGCGGCTTTGGAGTTTGTATGTACGGCACCAATATTGGCAGTCGGTTATTCAGAGCACAGAATCAATCTTCAGCTAAGACTGAAACATTGCACAGTGATACTCTTATTGGGTCCAAATCCTCAGCAGGTGAGGTCTAGCATCTATAAATTAGTATCAGCTAAGGGCGTGCTTTAGTATGGCGGCTTGTGTTAAAAGGTGCTTTTTTTTCGTCGAATGCGCAGGAGAACTGCACATCTTTATATATTATATAGAGAATACAAGGTGCTTCTTAGTTATTCAAAACATATATGCTAACAAAGCAGCATCACTGGAATATTTCATCTAATATATATCTTTTTTTTTTGTTGCTGATGGTAGCAGTATCACTCTCAGACTCACACCTGTTTTCCTTTTTCTGGATTGTTGTAGGCATTGCTTCATTGCCGGCACAAAAGGTACCATAATCCAATAGCAATCTGATCTCCTGTTTTGCGCATGAAGAGTGTTCCTGGACTATTTATATTGTTCGATACTATAAAAAACAACATATGGCTTGGAACTGTTTTTGTATTGTTTGGATGGTTTTGGGGAAAAAAAACTTTCCTGAAAAGGTTTATAAACTTGATTGTCAGAAATGCATTTTGATGTGTCATCAACTTTGTTTTCAGTGTTAGTCGATCTTTCCTGTTTATGCTCTTTAGTTAAAATCCTGGAATGTGAATATATTTAGGTTGGTTTGAATATATGCTCACCTACCTGTTGCTTGTTTTTCCACATGATAATTATTTCAAGCTGTGCTCATTAGTTATGGGCCTGTATCAGTTGATAGATCTATGTTTTTGAAAGTAAGTTGATAGATCTATGTACTGATTCTATTATTACCAATAAATGTACTACAGGATTACGGTTGCCCAAACGAAGCAAAAAGTGAGCAGCTAGCAGCTCCGTCCAAGAGACGAGATTCAGGATACAGTAAAGAAGATGGAACCCATAATGTCAAGGAAGGTCATGATGTTTCGTCCAAAGCAACCATTGGTAGTAAGCAATCGTGCATGCCCGGAACAGGAATCACGAACCTAGATCTCATACTTTCCCAAATGAGCAGAATGAGAAATCAAATTTCCAGTGGTATAATTCAACCACCAATAGGTGCCGAGCCAAGTGATAGATGGCTCAAGCGCCTACAGCTTGACATATCAGATCCTGACATGCCTGGTTCCAAGAGGCCAAAAGTTGCAGACAGCCCTCCACTCAGGCAAATAAATCGTTCTTTTGACATGGCACTTCCTTGCAACAGGACTGACACTGGAGCAATCGATCGTGTTAAGGAGGACCAGATCTTGGATGAAGGGAAAAAATTGCAAGAAACGCAAGAAAGAACCCCAATTCTAGAGAAGAGCGTGAATAGTTGGATAAGAAGATGGTGCCAGGGTGGCACTCCAGTTTTCCATGAAGACCCAGGCCAGGGAAGGCAAGCAACAAAGCCTGGCCGGTTATCCGAAGAACTTGAAGGTCAGTTCCCAAGCATTGCAGCGATGGCGATGATGGGGCGAGCGATGAACAAGCTTCGGCCATGCGAGCATCAGAAGAAGGGGCCATTTGTGGTGTGGAAGACAGATTGACCTCGTGGTTTATTTTTTTGGTTTCTTTCCAAAAAAGAAAATGTAAAGCAACTGGGAATTTTGCCTGGCAGTGGTTCATGGTTTATTTTTTTTCTGAAGTGAAAGTAGCTAGGTGTAGTGTCTACTGATGGTGTGATGGTTTAATATACCAACAGTATAATACTATAATGTTTACTGTTTCGTTATGATGATGATGTATTGAGGCCTCAGCTGAAGGGCATTGTCAAGACGAACATGTGAATTATCCCTGAATAGAAACATTGATCTTCATTTTTCTTTTGATAGGGGAACCATCACGCGCCAACATGTTTTAGAAGTAGAAGTAACTAGAACAACTAATGATGAAGCAAAAAAGAACATATGATGAAATCATAATCCGTGTAATTGGGAGCAATGAACAGCTGAATAGGCGGCTAAGCACTGAACTAGTTCCGGTTGTGGTTGTGTGTTATGGTAGGCACTACTGCACTAGGAGGGTCATCCTGAGATATGTATAGATGGCCATAAGGCCCGCGGCCCATCAGCACGACCCACGGACCTCTGTTTTGGCCCGGCCCAGGCGCGGCCTAGCACAGAGGAGAAAGGCAGTCAAGACCAGTGTGCTTCCTTCATCCTTGAGACCTTACTCATGCGGCGACACACCTGATCCACGCACGCCACACAGCCTCTCGAGCTTCTTCTTCAGGTCTTTGCTCAACACACTTCCCCAATCTCTGTCCTCCCGAGATCCTCCCGCATCAACCTCCATCCTCCCGCATAGGAGCCCCATCACCAATTCCTCCACCCTGGACACACGCCCCGATAGGCTGCCTTCTCCGTCTTCCCCATCGGCCTGGGATTACACGATTCGCCGCGGGAAGCAGGCTGACCCATGTGGCCTCCGGTGGTCACGTCGACAACCTGGCAACCGCATATCTGGCGCCCTTTCGGCTTGGATATCAATGGTGGAAGAGTGGTGGCCGGCGTTTGACCAAGCTGCCGCGGCTGACACGCGGGATTGTGGGCTGAGTCTTTAATCCTGTTCTGATTCCTGAATCTCTGTTCACTGTGTTCGTTTTGGACTCAGGGTCCGACCGATCTCTCTTCCGATGCCCCCTCTTTATAAAAGTTGGGGAAAGGACAGATTTTTGCATCTCTGGGGGCAATTTATTTACGAACGACGCTGCTGGCGCCCGGACGTCCAGCGCGTGAGACGTCCGAGCAAACCTGCCCGCCCCAGCCTTCGCACCAAGCAAACCTGCCCGCCCCAGCCGCTTCACTTTTCTTCATCGCCCGACCCTCTCCCCCTAGCCACTCGCTCGCTTCTCTTCACCGCCAGAACCCCGCCCCAGCCACTCGCTTCTCTTCACCGCCCCCCTCCCCACGCCGCGGGAATACAACGAAACCCGCTTGCCCCCCGCATCACCTATTCCCCCATGCTAGATGTGTCACATCCTTATCGTGCTCCTATCAGAAAATTATTTTGCAACATCAAACAAAGCGCAATGCGAGATGAAACATCAGAACAAGTCTACTGTGATATCAGAACAAGAGCGACTGCAACAACACAACAAAGCTACTGTAGTACGAGATGCAACATCAAAAAACAATATTAATGCAACAAAGAAAAATTATTTGTTGCAACAGCAAACCAAAGCTACTGCGACAACAGAAACAAAGCAGAATGCGAGTTGCGACATAAAAAAAAGACTAATGCAACAAAGAAAAATTGTTTATTGCAACAACAAACCAAAGCTACTGCAACAGCAGAAACAAAAAGGGCAGTGCGAGATGTAACATAAGAAAAAAAAGACTAATGCAACAAAGAAAGACTACTTGTTGCAACAGCGAAACAACGCTACTGCAACAACAGAAACAAAAACGCAAATGCGAGAAGCAACATCAGAAAAAAAAAGTCTAATGCAACAAAGAAATATTGCTTGTTGCAATAGCAAAACAAGCCTGCTGCAACAGAGTTCGCCGGAACCCTAGTCACCGCCGCGTCCCTCAGATCCAGATCCAGAGAAGGAGTAGTAGTAGTAGTAGAGCTCAGATCCAGAGGAGGAGGGAGGAGGGCTCAGATCCAGAGGAGGAGGGGCAAGGCCTCAGATCTAGATCCCTCCGCGACGTACCTCGTCGGAGCCGCCGCCGTCGTCCTCGTCTCCGGTGGGGTGCGGGAGCCGGGTCACAAGGAGAGTGGGGGTGCATGGAGGTCGCGGAGGTGCGAGGGACAGAGGGAGGAAGGGAGCACGGGCGAGCGGGCGCGCAGCGAGCTCACGTGCGGGGGGAGGGAGGGAGGTCGCGGAGGGGCGAGGGACAGAGGTATGGAGGGAGGGAGGGAGCTCGCGCGGCGCGGAGAGCGAGTGTGGGAGAGAGCGAGGGCGGGGGAACGGGCGGAGTGCGGGATAGAGCGACTGCGGGGCAGCGGGCGGAGCGGGTGTGCGAGTCGCGAGTGCAGGGCGGTGCGTCCGGAAGCCCGGACGCCCGGTCTATAGCATTACCGAGTTACGAATCATCCCGCCTTAACCAACACGTCGTGGACGCCTGCCAAGATTAGAATTCAGGGGGTGCGTTTTTCTCTTCACTCATACTCAGAATTTTCAGAATATATTTAGTATCTGTTTACATTATATGGTATCTTAGATTGTCCTGATACCAATCTCGTGTTATTTCAGTGCGGATTATCTCATAGTTGATCAAGTTTGGGTGACATGGTGATGGGGAATAAGAGAAGGGCTGTAGCATCTGGCGGTGCACATTTCCTGCCGGAGGAGATGATGACAGAGGTGTTCCTACGGCTGCCCGTCAAATCCATTCTTCGCTTTCGGGCCCGTCTGCCGGTCCTGGAATGCAGTGCTTTCTTCTGATGAATTTTGCCGCCTTCACATGGCGAAAGCTGAAGCGGAGTCAGCAACACCTAATCTGTTCTTCACTTCACCAACAGCTGGTTTTGACGCCACTGCGGTGTACTCGAGCTCGTCATCAGGCCCCGATGACGGCCTGCTGTTCACTCTTGATGGTGTACGCGGTGGTGACTTCATCCACATGACGCCTGCACCGTGCCGTGGCCTCACCCTTCTCTACGATCCTTTTGCACCAGCTTACTATGTTTTCAATGCATCCACATGGGCAGTTACCCGATTGCCCCCGTGCCACAATGCGGCGTATGTGACCGCTGGACTTGGGTTTGATGCCCGTACGAAGAAGTACATGGTGGTGAGGTTATTCCTAGGGGATTATGGTGATAAGCAGCATATTAAGTGTAAGATATACACGCTGGGCGGTGATCATGGGGATGATTGGAAGCCGCCTGCTGCAGGTGTACCCTTCAGATTCTGCAGGGCTGCTCAGGCAACTATTAGCCATGCTAGACATGATAAAGTGCTGCCAGTATTTGCAAATGGGTTTCTGCATTGGATTATCCGTCCCTCATTTGTCGTTGAAAGGCCACGAGCTGCCATCCTATCCTTTTCTGTCACAGATGAGATCTTTGCATGGGTCCAGTCGCCGCCGTTTGAGGTGTCAGGTGTGCATTTGGTGGAGCTTGCTGGCCACTTGTGTATGGTTCGGGACCTTCTTCATGTCGGCATGCTGGAGATATGGAAGCTGAATGACTATGGCTCTGGTGGTTGGTCATTGGAACATCGCATTGATCTGTTGCAGCATGTTAGCAGAGATGATGTAATTGAGCCTGAGATTGTTAGTTATTGGTTCTGTTGGCAGTTGTGGGTCCACGAAGAGGATAGTCATTGCTACATCCAAACGCAAGATGATTGTCTATGATCCCGTGTCTCAGACTGTAGAAACTGGCACTGCGATCAGAGAGACCCCTTCGTCTTACCAAGCTGAAAATCTTGCTCTTACCAGCGTCTCCCTATTTCAAGAGAGCCTTGTTCCAGTGCATCAGACAAATGAAGAGAGAGCCCTGTCAGCTCCTTGGCTAAAGCGACTAGGGAGATCTTGCTCCGACTCCCTGGTGATTGTACCATGCGATTCAAACTTGTCTGCAAGCAGTGGCTTAGCTTGATTGAGGATAACAGCTTCATGCGCTCTTATCACTCGCATAACAACATGGCCAAGAGGCCCAAGAACATGCTTGTGGGCAAGGGCATCACTAGGGATCGCATCACTAGAGGATCCGGCTTCAGTTTTACTCCCTGCTCAAAGTTGCTCCAACGTGCTCGTAGACATGATATATGGCTTGACACAAAGGTGGTTTGCTCCAAGCCTTGCCATGGCATGAACCTGCTAAGCACTGAGCTGAAGGATTATCTCTACAACCCCTGCACAGGTTTCCGCCTTGCGTACCACATTCGAGGGACGGCATCCATCCACGTGCCCCCGAACATTCCTAGCTGGAGTATACCAGAAGGTCATGACCATGCTTTCGCACTTGGCCGGAAGAATGTTGGCCTGGGGTTCAATCTGTCGACACAGGATCACGTGATTGTTGAAATGTTTTACCACGTGAAGGACTTCAAATCCCGTCGGTATTTCTTGACATGCATGGTTTGCGAGCGTGGCCGGGGCTCCGTGCTTGACTGCTTCCCGCCACCTCTGCCTGTGAGTGACATGCCGCCAGCCTATCTTGCAGGAGTGCTCTACTGGATGAGTGATCCAAGGTTGGGCGAAAGTGACGAGAGGGCCATGGTGTCATTTGACATAACAACACGTGAATTTGTTGTCATCCCCTGTCCGTCATGTATTGATTTGTGGAACAATGGAAGTGCTTCCAATGCTTTTGTGGTTGAACTTGAGGGAACATTATGTGCTAAAATGATAGTGTTGTAAATGAAGGCCTTTAATTATTACATCGAGTTAACACACCGAATTTTTCTTCGTGAGAACCTTATCTACCAACTAATGCAATTGGTCATTAATTTTGAGAGCTCCTGATGTTTTTTTGGTACTATTCTGATCAGCTAATTGGTTGTTGTATTGCAGGCATCTACAGTCCATTTCATTATTGCAGCGCTCTCTCATGCCTGTTCGCTTGTTGGTTTCAGCCAGCCCAAACCAGCCAGTCAACAGTGCTTTCCTCTCACAAAAAATCAGTACCAGCCAACCCAAACCAGCACCAACACCAACCAGCGAACAGGCCTCGTGGGACCGTTTATTTGTGTGACCTTCTGTTTGCACCTTGCCACTAAGCGTCTACTGCTAAGTGTTTAACGGTTGAAGGAACTTGCTACTAATCTACTAATGTAGTCGCGAAAGGAAACCTGCTACTATTGTACTTGACTATATATTCATATTTGTGTGAACATGACTGCATGATGCAAACTGTGTGTACTTTTTTGGACCAACATTCTGAACTACTGGCAAAACATATTTTACATGTAATCTATGAACAGACGGAATCATATGGTCCATAATGACCGTGCAATTTGTGTTATCAACAAAATCTATTTGTCATTGGTGTCTATCATCCCATATATACTTACTTTATTATTGCTTAACAATTTGATTGGTAGGGCGCCGCGAAAGCGTGCATCCTTTTGTAACCATCTTTATGGGCGAATGAGTGTGACAACCCAAGTAGAGGATCGAACTCCCGACCTCAGGATTACTCAACAAGCTATGAGACCTACGCGCTAGCCAACTGCGCCACCACACCGTTTGTGTTATTAAGCTGAGGAACAATCCTCCCATATCTGTTGCACACCCATAGACCTTGTTTAGTTGGTGAATTTTTTTGAGAAATAATACTGTAGCACTTTCATTGTTATTCGGCAATTAGTGTCCAATCATAGTCTAATTAGGCTTAAAAGATTCGTCTCGTGAATTTCGTCTAAACTGCGTAATTAGTTTTATTTTTTATTTATATTTAATGCTTCGTGCATGCGTCCAAAGATTCGATGTGACCGAAAATCTTGAAAAATTTTACAAAATTTTGAAAACTAAACAAGCACATATTCTCAATTTTGTCCCATCAGCCGCGGTGTCTCCGTCGGGAGATCCTTCGCTTCTATTCCAGATTTCCAGGTCATGATGTTTCCGTGCAAAGTTTGGTTGGAGTTGTACGAGGCCGTGATGGAGGTGCGTCCAAGTAAGCGAAGCTTGTGTTCGATTTGGAGCTACCGCAGTTCGCCAGTTCCGCACATGATATCCTCTTCGTAGAGCAAGATCTTGGTAATGGTGTAGGGAATGAAGAGCCACCAGTCGAAGCACATGATCAAAGAAGAAGAGGCTCCTCAAATGGTTGTTTCACACAGTTTTTTTTTTCCATGCAAGAGAGCTGCCGATTATATTAAAAAAAAGATAAGCTCAGAGTGGACACAACGATACAACTAGACGGCCATAACAACACAACAAAGAGCTCTTCTAGCAACAGAGACTGGTTGGAATGGGACCTCAACACGTGTCACACAACACTACCAGACTCGCCAACTAAACACCACTAATCTGGCACTCCACAGCAACACCACTGACAGCCAAGCACCACGCAACACCACAAAGAACCAGACAACAAAGCTGTCAAGACAAAAAGCCATCTTCTCTGCTCACGCCGTCGTCGCCAAAAATGTCCTATGCCAAGCTAGCCTTGCTAAGCAAAACTAGTCACCGTAGTCCGCTGGGAGTTGTGTAGCCGCCACGCCTTCGAATCCGCTTGCGCCACTTCATGGCGTTGTCCCACACCATACTAGCCTCTGCCATGCAGGACTAGCCGCTGCAGTCCGCTGTAAGCCGCCAAGCCGAAAACATAAGCAACTGCCTCAAGCCTTCGCCACAATGACCATGTCCACCGAGATCCACCTGCATACATTGTAGCACTTGGGAACCAAGCCACCTTGTCCAAGAAAGCAGAACCTCCAATAACCATCAGAAGCTTCAACGCATAGGTCACTTCAAAGCAACGCTTCCTCACCACCCACCTCGTTCGCTACCGGCCTTCTCGCCAACTTCAGGGTCACTCTTTGGCGCGACGGCCCGCCATACCGTTGCCCTCCAACTACCAACCGCTGTGCCCTCCAAACACTGCATCAGCACCTCTACCTGACCATCTTCGTACGCCGAGGACACCTTCCTCTTGAGTAATCGACCTGGACTCCACCACCACGACACCAACTGCTGGCAGCTGCCATGCCACGGCCGGAGCACCGCCACTAGAAATCCTCCACTTCGTGGTACCAACGTGTCAGGGGATGACCAAACTGAGAAGCCGGTCGCCACTCCTCCTATCGGGTTCATAAACCCGGGGTCCCTCATGGACCTGCTTCCCAACAAAAGTTCGGCCCAGCAGACGACGTTGCGAACGATGCGCAACTCCTGGGCCGGCCCAAAAACCTAACGACAGGCTAGAAGGTCGATCTAGTCTCCGACCGGAAGGCCTGGCCAAAGAAGAGCGGCGCTCACTTCCTACCCCGGCCCGCCTCTCCGACCAGAAGGCCTGGCCGAGAAGGGATGACGCTCGCCTCCGACTCCGGCCGCCTCTCCGGTTGGAAGGCCTGGCCAGCCCGCCTCCGACTTCGGCGCTCGCTTCCAACTTCGGCCCGCCTCTCCTACTGGAAGGCCTGACCAAGGAGGAACGACGCTCGTTTTCCATCGCCTCCGACTCCGGCCACCTCTCCGACTGGAAGGCCTGGCCGAGAAGGGATGACGCTCGCCTCCGACTCCGGCCGCCTCTCCGACTGGAAGGCCTGGCTAGCCCGCCTCCGACTCCGGCGCTCACTTCTGACTCCGGCCCGCCTCTCCGACCGGAAGGCCTGGCCAAGGAGGAACGACGCTCGTTTTTTGTCGCCTCCGACTCCGGCCGCCTCTCCGACCGGAAGGCCTGGTCGAGAAGGGACAACACTCTCCTCTGACTCCGACTCCGACTCGCTTCTCCGACCGGAAGTACATCGAACCTCTGCTTACAGCTCTTCTTCGACCAGGAGGCCAGAGCCGACTGGGGAACGACCGACCGGGGACGCCCGCTCGGTGAAGACCCAGGAAACGAATAGAGCAAGCAAGACAGGGCGCTCTAGTCAACCGCAATATCAAGGCCATACCCTGCACACATGCAGGACAGTACTGTCAGGCCGTGTCAGAAGGATGCACCGCAACCTTCCAGACATGTCAGAACATGAACAATATTATGGGCGCCGACATTTATCCTATAGTATGGTAGGCGCCGACATCTGCCGTACCAGAAGAAGACGATGGAACCTACCATATGCATCTGAACATCAACAGTGTTATGGGCGCCGACAAACCGCCTTGTACCCAACGACGTGGGGAACAAGACTAGGTAGCACACACACACTCTTTCTCTCACTCTCTCTTGTAAAGCCATCCCCTTCATCTATAAAAGGGGATGCGCTCTCTCCAAAAGGGGCACGATCAATTCACGGATGATTAGACCACTAGGATCGATTCACGAACGATTCGAACGACCTACGATTCAAACGATTCCAACAGAGCACACGCTAAAACACTTAGTGCATGTAGGAGCTCCTGTCTCTCTCGACCCTTCGGTCTAGAGTTCGACCGGACCTCTTACACCCCATCTTACTCCCTCTTATTTGTAACCCCATAGCAAACTTCGAGCACCTGGGCTCGGGAATAAAGTCACCAACCGACTCAAACTGGACGTAGGGCACGTTGCCTGAACCAGTATAAACCCTGCGTCATTGAGTGCTAGGCCACATCCGATCACAACGTACGACAAAACTACAAATATTTATGTGTTGGTCACTTTCTGCACCGACACCTCCAATGCCTGTGGCCATCATCCACACCAGCAAGCAGCATGTATGGGTAGCACCAACGCCATGGTGCCGCACGCGTGCCGCCCTGCCACTGGCTCGCCCGCTCGCGAGGCTCACGCGCCGCTCCATAGCCAGCACGCCCGCCCACGCCGCACCGAGGCCTGCCTCCACGTAGCTTCCTCAACACTGTCGCCACGTAGCCCACTCGCTGCCTCCATGCCACCGCCGTCATGCGCAGCACATGTGAGGTGCCCTCGTCGTCATCTCACTCGCGTGCCACCACCAAGAGGCCTCAGACCACCGGTTCCATGCACAAGGACGACAGATCGGGGCAGGAAGACACCAGATCCACCTGCATCTGGGCTAGATTCACGCTACCGGTAGCCGCCTCGGCCGCCCGCACAGGTGCCCTACGGGAGAGAGGGAGCGGGGAAGAATGCCCAGCCGCCACCATCCTTGCCCTCCGCCGGACACCTGACGTCGAGCTTCGGCGGCGGCCAGGCTGGGGAGCACGAGGGAGGGAGCCGGCCGGCGGCAGAGAAAAAGCGCCACCTGAGTCGCTCCTTGGGGAGAGAGCAACGCGGGGGCCTATTTGGTTTCGTCTTACTCAAGACTATTGTCTATGTTTCACACAGTTTGGGACCTACTGTTTCTGCAGAGGTTCCGCGCAAGGGCACGAAAGTCCCACAGACTGTGAGGAAGATCAAGATACTTCAAGTATGATTCAGGATCAAGATCAAATAGAAGATAAAACTTATGTTGGAGGTGATTCATTGCCAAATGATGAAAATGAAAAGTCAACTCAAGACAAATCTTTAATGCCACAACCAAGAGCTCACCAAAACATTAAAAAGGAGTGGTAATCTCTAAAATCTCATGTGCATGTTATTTTCAAATTGTACTACTTTGTCTTTTAGCCACTTAGGAAAAGGAAGTACTTGAGTATATACATTGGTTGTTGGTCATGAAACAAAAAGTATGAATGGAACTGCATTGATCATCCATACCAAGCAACATAGATGACTTGAGTTTCCTTTGTGGACTCCAAACCAAGAATTTCAAGATGAAGCAAGTTTATGTTCATTTATGCATACTATGAGT